GAATGAAACAACCCCTCGGAAATGCAGATTTTATTACACTTACATTAAATAATCTTTGACCCATCATGCTAGGGCCACGCTCTGCGATAAACATCACATTAACGTGATTTTGAAGCCGATTAGTTAACCAACGCCCAGGAGTTGCACATTCATCATCCGTGGAACTGCTACCTCATTCTCCGGTATGGGAGCTGATCTCGGAGGAAGAGTGGGTTGAAAAAACTCAACGACGCAACGGTGTGAAGGATTAAAATACGAGCTATAAGTGATGATGAATGATTAATTGCAAGAACTAGGAATAGTTCTTAGATAGAATAGTCAACTAGCGTTCTAGCCATGTCCATTTCAAAACGCATATTTATTATACCGTGAACCCATTAAAAATGGGAAATCAGGGTACAATGGTTTTGTGAAAAGTATGTAACAGGCAGAAGGAATCATCGCAGACCCCATAAAGTATATACATATATTCTTGATCAGGATGACGAGCTGAGTCGATATAGCCTGTCCGTCTGTCCGTCCGTCCGTATGAGCAAACCGATCTCAGAAGATATAAGAGCTAGAAAGTTGATATGTGGTGTGCATACTCGGGTATACCATAGGCAGTTTATCTTATTTTTTCGATAACTAATCCGATAACCTTTTTATCGAGAATAATCGAAAAATCGGCTTTGTTTTTTAGCTTAATTTGAACACTTTTAGACCTGGAGACTTAAAATTTGCGTTGTATATAAAGTTAATGGATATAAAGATATTGTAATTTACAGATTTTGTATACCCCGCCCCCTTCGCCCACAATTTGTAAAAAACGTATTTCAAGTTCTAGAGACTTGTGCTTTGTAATGTACACACATTTTAACCTTATGATCACGCTCTGAAGTTTCATTAAGAAAGTTTTACTACAAGAGAAATTATTCAACTAATAATTGCCCACACTACAGCGCAGCCCAAGCGCTGTCGCTGCGCAATCAGCAGAGCGCGTGAGATACTTGCGTATGGATGCGTGTGTATACATGTGTGCATAAAAGAAGTGCAAAATGAGTAGAATATCAGCTTAGACGGTTCAGGGTACCCCCCAGTCGAGCAGTCTCGACTGGAGCCTTCTTACTTCATTTATTTTGGAGATTTACGCTCCAAGAAGATATTTTGTAGATCTCATGACTTCTGCATATACATATATTCGGTGTGTACTCAGGATAGCTGATTTGGTAGAAGATAATAAGATAATGTTCAAGACTATTAACATGATAAAAGCCGAGACGAATGAACCCAGTTGAAACTAGTATACATACATAAATCTTTGTACAGATATAGATGTGAAGGACCCATACCAAATGAAGAATCAGGTAAGCTGAGGAGGCAGGTCACCTTATTTGAAAAAGAAAGAGAAAAACCGTGAATGCAAAAAGGAAAGCTTATTGTTCAAAGCTTGAATGCCAAAACGTAGCATGAAAGCGATTCAAAGAATATTTAAGCTGAAAGAGGATTCCGAGCAGCAGAATAGAATAGAATACTCACAGAGACTACATAGGCATACACATACACACATATACAAACACACAGAACATACACAATGGATGAAAGCGGAAAAGAAAGGAAAACAAAATAATACAACTTTTTGTGTTGGCACAAAGCCAAGCAAATGCAAAATGAATGTAATGAATAGAAAACACCGAAATGAAATATGTAATAAAAGCAGAGAAGAAAAGGCATTCATAAAACACACAATCATTTGCTACATACATAATATGCACACGTATGTAGTTGCACATACACGTAGACGTACATTACATTTACTTCCCCGCACCAGGTGTACAGACGTGGAACAGAGCAAAGAGATTTGAGCTGTGACCCAACTGTCAAATATCTCAATTTTAACAGTTTTATGAACAATTTTGACCAGTTTTTATATGTATATGTATATGTATATGTATATGTATATGTATATGTATATGTATATGTATATGTATATGTATATGTATATGTATATGTATATGTATATGTATATGTATATGTATATGTATATGTATATGTATATGTATATGTATATGTATATGTATATGTATATGTATATGTATATGTATATGTATATGTATATGTATATGTATATGTATATGTATATGTATATGTATATGTATATGTATATGTATATGTATATGTATATGTATATGTATATGTATATGTATATGTATATGTATATGTATATGTATATGTATATGTATATGTATATGTATATGTATATGTATATGTATATGTATATGTATATGTATATGTATATGTATATGTATATGTATATGTATATGTATATGTATATGTATATGTATATGTATATGTATATGTATATGTATATGTATATGTATATGTATATGTATATGTATATGTATATGTATATGTATATGTATATGTATATGTATATGTATATGTATATGTATATGTAGTCGATGGAGCCCTGTCTCTAGTTTTGAAATGCAAATTGGTGGGCGTGGTCTCCAAAATCTGTAAATTACAAAATCTTTGTATCGATCAATTGTATATACACAGTAAATCTGAAGTCTCTAGGTCTACAAGTGATAAATTATTCTCGATAAAAATGTTATCGGATGAGTTATAAAAAAAAATGAGCAAAACTTGTACTGCATATGGTTACACGAGTCTATATGCTAAATTTCAGCTCTCTAGATCTTACAACTTCTGAGATCTATCAAGGTATCTCCTCCTTTTGTGAAACGTATGTAATAGGCAGAAAGAATCATCGCAGGCCCCATAAAGTATATACACTTGGTACTCGCTTAACACAGACTCTTTTAGAACGAACTCGGTCTTACACGGCTACAAATTTACTCCCATACCCCTTTTAACACGCTAAAAACCTCGTTCTTACAAGAATGCAAGATTGCACAGATTGCTGTGAATGAAGCAAACAATTCGAAATCAGATGACTGCAGCTCTGAAGGAACCGACCCATTTAGTTTAACGATAGATAAGCTCTAAGAAGGATTCGCATATACTAGCAGCTTGGAATCGTGCTGAATTTAATCAGATCCGGTCATCGAACGAGGACTTAAGTTGAAGAGAGAGTTGGAAAATATACTTTGGCCTTATAAGGAGTGCTATAAAGAAGCTTTAAAAGCCACCAAACAATCGAATATGACTGATTTTTTTTGATAAGGAGCCACCAAAAAAGAAAACATGTTCAAACAAACTGACTTAAACTAAAAATGCCACCAAATGCATTTCAAATTTGATTTGAATTGAAACATATGATCTCCTTACTTTTTAACATAAGTTTCTATAAAGTTCAACATGTTAATTAATTATATGAAGCACCTTTTGTTTTATTTAATACCAACTTTTAATTTGCAAAATATGAATGTTATGCATATATTAAAGGCATATACATAATAACTTTTGGTTAATTTTGAACAAATGTATGAAACTTTAATAAAAACAGACCAAACTCGAACAATCACAAATTTTTTTTTGCCAATATTGAATTTTGAGAACATAATCCCTTATTTTGTACTGAATCCATGTTTCGCTTAACACGATTTCGCTTAACACGAGGATTTTTAAGAACATAACCCCCGTATTAAGCGAGGGCCAAGTAAACATTTATTCTTGATCAGGACGACGAGCTGAATCGATATAGCCTGTCCGTCTGTCTATCCGTCCTTCCGTCCGTATGAGTGCGTCGATCTCAGAAATTATAAGAGCTAGAGAGCTGAAATTTGACATGCATACTCGTGTATACCATACGCAGTACAAGTTTTGCTTATTTTTTCGATAACTAATCCGATAACTTTTTATGGAAAATAATCGAAAAATTGATTTTGTTTTTTTTTTAACCTAATTTGAACACTTTTAGAAATGGCGACTTCAGATTTACTGTGTATATACATTTGATGAATACAAAGATTTTTTTTATTTTCTATATGCCATGCTCCTAAAAAGGCGTAACAATTATTTTTGGGTCATCGATAGAGGAGGTTAGTAGTAACTAAACTATCCAAATCTAGCTAACTATTGTACTTTAGGAGATATAAACTTTTGCGGTTTGTGGTTTGCGGACATATATCCAACATAGCTTTTTGGTCTTGGGTGGTCAGCCCGTGTATGTATATCATATTTCAGGTCTCTAGCATCAATACCGCCCAAAATATAGCAGAATTCGAAAATTCAACATATCTTCATGTCCGATTTGCTACGCCCATAGTGGGCGTAGACATATAGTTTTAATTTATATTTATGGAATCAGAATTTATAGAATCATAACATTAGCTTACGTGCAAAATTTTAACGTTCTAGCTTTAAAACTCTACGAGATACAGTATTATCCAAATTTACATACCCCCAATAGGCGTACATTCTAAATTTCAGCATTCTAGTTCATCAACTAATATGATTTATGGTATGCATTTTTTGCCACGCCTCTAGTGGAAGAGCCTCCGATTACTACGTTTCCGCTTTTAATTACAGTCCGTTTATCCCGACGATTTTTTTCATAATTTTCAGTCATTCACACTTAAGCATACTAATCCGTTGTTAGATATATGTATATATATGTATTTATTTATCAGTAATCAGTAATCAGTACGTAGCAGCGACACAAATGCTGCTAAGATAAAGAGATAGACTAACTGCAATGTCAACGTCACCATGATATTGAAATAAATTTATAACATTTTTATGTTTTTATTTAAAAAAATTAAATTGTTTTATGTTAAAATCTATTACGAACAAGGCAACCGTAAAAAAAAGAAACAAAAATAGATTTTTTTGCTCCATCTGGTTTAAACGTCGTCCGGGTATAGCGACGTAAAATCGTCGGTCCCTTGAGCGCTGTTATAACCGGCGTCCACTGTATGATGTTTTAAGTGTTTGTCCCAGTAACTAATTTCGCACACCTTATACTATATATGTACTATATATGAAATACGGATTTCAGTGGCAATGACGTTGATATCAGTTCTTTGAATATTCATTTGTAATTTTTATCTTACCTGGCTAATCAATCTACTTCGAATGAGCTGCAAATGCCGAATCATTTCTGAAACAGCTCGATTTTTTTCATATGCTTGCTGTGATGGCTCTCTTGCAGTCAACGTGGCAATTTCTCTAAAATAAAGACAGTCATTATAATTCAATTTAATTCAAATTATATACATATATACATATATACGTATACAAATAGTTTAATATTTAATATTTAATTAATATTTTAATATTTAATATTTATTATACAAGAAACGTTATCCAACAATTAAGTTCCCATTGTAAGCCCACACTGCAGTCCATACGTGTTTATGCATGCGTGCGTATACCTGTTTGTGCGTATGTATGTGCATGAGTGAAGAAGTGTAATTGTAGTCGAGCAGTCTCGAATGGAGCTATCTTGTTATAATATGTACTTATTCACGAAAGTGAAATGAGTATATTGATTTTGTGCAATGTCCGTCTTGTACGCCCGTCTGTTCGACTGTCCGAATGAGCGCAATTTTTTTAGACGCTATTGAAGCTAAAAACTTGAAATTTGGAACACATACTCGTGTATATCTCCTTTATAAAAGGCGTATTTCAAATACTAAGGACTTGTGCTTAGTACATAATCCATCGACAAGAAAAGTTATTAAACAATTATGTTCGCATAGTTATCCCACACTGCAGTCCATGCGTGTTTATGCGACCATGCCTATGTGTGTCTGTGTGTGTGTTTCTTGTGTAAGGAGAAAGACGCGAAAAATGATAAAAATAGCTGTTGCTCGAAGGGTTCAGGAAATTTCATTGTCGAGCAGTCTCGACTACAGCTTTCTTACTTGTACTACACAAATTTATATTGATTTTAGGGGAGACTATCAAAGCTTCTGCGTTTAAGTAATCTGTAATTACTTTTAATTTCCTATTAGAGAGTTACCGAAGTTAAATATATTAAATATGCACACCCATCAAAAACTACCAAATAATTTGCAGGCAAAGGAGCAGATGAGTAAGCAAATATACATTGGTTCGAGTCTTCTATTTATGACGCAATTTTTTGTTTACAAATTATAAAGTGTCAAACAATAATTGAATTATTTAAGGCTTTTTATTAATTTATTTATGTACGAAAAAATATATAGTATATCAAAAGATTAATAAAATTTTTTTATTTGATTGACGAATTAAATAAGACTGAAAGGGGTATTTTATTTTATCAATACAATTTATGTTTTATTTGGATATTTATCTTTACATTTAAGCTTCTAGTAAACATGAAAATATGCGAATAAAATAAAAAGATACATAGCTTCAGTATTGAGCAATTTTTATTTTATTTTATTTATTTATTATTTTTTTTATCAACATGTTGAAAATTAACAATATTAAATTGCATATTATTAATAATATATCAGTTTCGTTAACCGAATCGATATAACTGTCTAAATTAGTCTTTAGTGCTACTGTGTTGGCTTGTTGGTAGAGCTCTGCTTGTGGACTATTTCTAAATAATTGAATGCTACAAGCGGAAATTGCGAATATATAGTAAGGGAGGATGGCAAAATACGACCACAAGCCAAATATAATTTGATTGACCCCGCTCCAGTTCAAAATGGACACCCCAATTAGGACGCGAACTTATTTTAGACTACCTCTCAACAACTATGTTCAATAAGTTTGTATTATAATTATATATTTACATTCCGCCAGCAGAGATACGTAATCTGATACCTCAATTATAATTTAGCTTCTATTTGGCATGTGCAGAAATAATAAATTTTGCTGTTCATACTCCTAAATAAATAAATGAATACTTTTTCTATTCAAAGTGGGGTCTATATACATTTAGTGTACGAGAATAGTAAAGAGCATACAGCAATATTCCTTAATATCCTTGTTTAAAAAAAACTTAAAATTCAATTTTACGGCGGCTGTCACAACTTAATCACAGACATTATTTGTTGATAAGATTTAGCTCTTATGATGTATAAGATACAATTTTAAAATATAGTTTTGAAAAAAAGCTAGTAAAACAAGTAAGAAAGCTCTAGTCGAGACTGCTCGACTACGAGATCCCAAGCTACTGATATTTCAATAATTATTCGCACATGCACACACACACGTACACACACAGACAGGGCCAAATCGGCTCAGCTTGTCGCCCTGAGCAAGAATATATATACTTTATGGGGTCTGCCACGCCTCCTTCTGCCTGTTACATACTTTTAAGAAAGCCATTACCCATTTTCAATGGGTTCACACCCCTGATTTCCCATTTTCAATGGGTTCAGGGTATAATAAAACGGAAAGTTTCTAAATTTCCGATACCTCTTTAGGACTTAACTCTTAAGATGTATAAGATACAATTTGAAAACATAGTTTTGATTCAAATTTTAATCGATAAAATTAAAACGGAAAGTGTTACCTATTATTTTGAACAATCCTAATCAGGGCGTGATTTATTCATCCATAATAAAATATCAATTCTATACCTTCTATAAGTTCTGAGATTGACGCGTTAATACATACGAATAAAGCGACTATTATATTCATATACTGCATTTATTATTTTCCATTTTTATTAATTTCAGGATATGAATATACATATATGATACGTCACCTAAGAATATGCCAAGCAATGTAAACCTGTATCTTCTGCAGCTTGACACTTAAGTACCAGTCATTTGATGACTAGATCATTAGAAATATGTAGAATTGTAAGCTCACCTTAAAGGTTTGAGCAACGAAGAGCTGTCGTCTGATAGGCTTTGCTTGCCAAAGGCATCCAGGCCCAAACGATGAGTGAGGTCATTTAGCGATGGCAGTTCCATTGGATTAGGTATATATTGTCCGCCATCCATAGCAGTCGAAAAACGTTGTTGTTCTACACCACTAATATTTTGTTCTATATGCATTATTTGATCTTTTGAATCCGTGTCCGGTTTCTCAAAAACTTCTTGTTTTATCAGGTTTCTATACTGACTCCTGAATATCATAGCACTCGCGTTCTCGATATTGACATCCTTTGGCTCAGCTGTCTCATTCGTTGGGTACGTTGGCAGGGTATTTGTGCTGCGAGAATTTTGATCATGTAAAGCCTGTATATCACTGGTGTTAGCAATCGCAGTAGCTGACTTCATCTTGGAAATACCATTTAATAGTCGCGACTTTGACGTAATTTGAATACTCTTTTTTGCCGTTACAATTTGATGAGCTGGCTGCAATAAAAATGAATACAAATAACGATATTATTCGAAATATGAGAGTCAGGTATCTGCAAATTTCAGGTGCCCAAATAGATTAGCAAATGCGTTGAAAATGCGACATTTATTTATTTAGTGTTTTTTTTTTTTTTTTAATTTCGTAACTCGTTAACGATATTAGAAGAGTGTGTAAGCGTGGGGAATATCCTTGATGCTCTCCGGCTGCTAATGGATAGCCGAGCGCATAGCTTTTCGCCAGTTTTGTGTCGGATCCGCCGAAAATTAATTTTGAATAAATTAAAATTAAAATTAATTTAAATAAAGTAGGATAAAGATAACTAAAGATAGTAGCACTATTACCATTTATGAGGTACTTACCTGGCTGACATTATCGAATTCCGATTCACTGGAACTAGTTACTGTGCTAATGCTCTGTGCGTCAATATCCAACAAAGCGTTCTCCCCATCACTAGCCGACACGGGACCCATCTCAAGTTCCATAAATTCATGCCCCTTGCATATAACTTCGCCTTTGATCACACCTTCACCGTCGCTGGTCCTCAAAATATTACAGCCGGCTTCCTCATTCTCAGTACACTTATTTTCATTGTTAACAAATTGTTGTTGCATTTTAGCAGCAGAGAGTGTGATTTCGCTTGAATTTAATTGGAAATTAAATTGGCGTCCAGTCTCTGTTGCAGATCCTTCAAAATCTAGTGAGCTATTTGAATCGCCATCAAATTTATTCGGTGGCGATTTGCGTTTTCCCGACATTCTGTAAATAAAAAACGTAAACATTGTAAGCATTGAAAATGGGAAATCAAGCTGTAATGCATTTTTTAAATAAGTGTGTAACAGCCAGAAGAAGGTGTAGCAGGCTCTATAAAGTATATACTCTATAAAGCATATAACGCACCAATCTTAGGAGCTATAAGACCAAAATTTTAATAATGTTTGTTGTAGGCCCAAGTATAGCACGCGCAGATCGAGTTTGTTTCAAAAATTACTAATTATATTTAGTTTAATCGATTATATACCTTAAGAAGAATCAACTACATCCCTACATCCTTAGAGCTTATCGACCTTGAGGTCGGTATAAAAGCCACACATTTATAGTCTTGATATGTATGAAAAAGTCGATATAGAGCGAATTTTTGGTCCATATGTATGAATAGTGGAACCCGGACTCGGTTAGTGCTTCTAACTCTTGAATTAACTAAAAATTGTATAACAGACACTTGAAATGAAAAATTAAATAATTATATAATTTCTGATATCTTTTGTAAAATTTATTTACAGAATGTAAATTTATAAATGAGTCAGAATTTCAATTTTTTTTATATTGCATATCAGCTAAAAATTAGTATTAGGGTCCTGAAGATCGTATTTAGTTCACGCTATGCTCCGAGCTAAAGCATTCTTTACTTTATAGGTACAACACAAAAGAGAAAAACAAAATAACAAAAATAAATTTCTGTCGTGCTTTCCGGGGAATACATATTATACATAGCATATTTATATTTAGAGAAATCTTTCGGCATCAACTTCCGTTTATCTGTCTCACACTCTTCTCTTTCTCTCTCCTTTTCTCTTCTTCGTGTCTCTTTCTTGATATTGCATTTGGAGTAGTCTTTGGCACGTGAATGTGTGCACATGCAGCAAATCTATTATTTTATAATGGTGTGGGTGACTCTAACTCCTGTCATGCAGTCCTTTTCTCTTAATAATACCTTTTGGCTTTGGATAAGATGACAAATTAATAACAAGATAAACTATATGATATATTTGGAAGCGCACGCATCATGCATACAACCACAAGTGCTATTCAAAGAAAACTATGTAGTATATATATCAGATGAAGGTGTAACTTATTTATCGCTGAACATTCTGCATTCATGTGGGAGTTGAAGTATTATTATATTGACGCGTAATAGAGCGATCTGGCATCTGGCACCAAGTCAAGTTTGTTTGACTTATTCGATAAATTAAATATCGAGACTGGAAATATACAAGCGAATAGAGCAGCGATACATACAAAATATATATCTTCCATAAAAGAGTTTATCTTAAGTGACGAAATGGTCGAATAGAGCAGAATACAGAAAAAAAGTTCAGTCCCCATCTCTGATTCAGAAACAGTCAGCCTCGAACTCACAGCCAAAAGAGGAAACAGAGCTTCAGTTGGGGAAGCGACAAAGACAACAAATGATTGTTTTTGCGATTTGCTTTGAACTGAACATTTTATTTATAATGATGACTTCCGTAGCTCGTATGAATAGACGCGACATCAACACACACCGCATACAGACGCCGCCCACCACACTCACACATACGTAGTCATTCATTCAAATATTGACAAGGCTCCTGCAAATAGCTTCCGCAAGTTGACTTTAATGGGCTTCTTTTGGCGGTTTTGGATTTTTTCTGGGCTCAACATATATACAGATATATAATACATATAATACGTATCAAGTGTTATGCATTGCGAAATACAATATTATATACAATGTAAATTATGTGTATATATTGTAAAGTAAGTAGTAAGAACGCCGGATTTGGATTTGAAATCGGGGCGAAGAGTTTAGCTCTCGTTTAAATAAAACTTAATTTTCTATACAATAACTGTAAAAATATATTTTATTGACAAGTCCAAAAGCATAAAAAGATGTGGAAGAAGATCATCAGCGATGGCTGATGAATCGGAAGTGGACTTAACACAAAACTAGAAACCAGTACACTTGATTCTCCTTAATGGCGCAAATAAAACCAAAACCTGACAAACGTTCTGTATGTTTGTGTGAATACATAAGGAGTTAGAAGGCTTCTTGCGTCCATTTTAGACGAATTTCATTACTTTCTATTTCTTGGACCATTTATCATTTGACGTCGAAGCAAGTGCGTTCAATTTGTCCGCGTTACTCGTAAAAATCCATCGACACACTTCAAGACTTGGGGGCGACTTTTCGAAGCCCAGCAATTTTGAAGGGGAAGGTTGGCTACATACTTCTTACTTCAGATCACTCGTTGCCTTCACTCATACATTCCCACCAAGTATGAACAAAAGGCCGTAACATATATTCATAGTTCTGTATTAGAATTATAAGTACTTGTGCAAATACAAACGATTTGTGTGTGGGTGTATAACGGGGGCTTAAGGTAAATAAAATAAATATTATTCTTCCTTTTTAAGCACCATATATAAACAACAACATCAGGAAAATAAAACACATAAAGAAAATAAAAAAGAGAAACACACACAAATGCCTGGGCGCAATAATGAATTTTCAATTGAAATTGCCCAACCACCTTTTCAGGAGCTCTGGACCTGGACCCACGACCATTTCCCGTTTCCCATCGACTATTTGGCATTGTTTACGAGCCCTCGGCAGTGGCCTTCATGTCTTTGCGCACGTGCTGGCATTAAAAATGAATTTGGTTAGCCGAAGGACCATTGGCGGTGGAAAGAATCTAATGGGGTCTACTTATTTGAGAGAATGCCGATTACCACTTTGCAAATTACCAACTCAAAGGGCAAGTCCATGACCTCAAAAAATAAAAGAACACGAATGCTGAATGTAAAACTCAATCTATTATAGATATATAGGCAACGGATGAATCCAATTTTACGTGTAGTTTGTTTGTATTGACTACAGGTAATTGCGCATATAGACAGAAATATAGCAAGTGAGTCTTAGTCATCAATATGTCAGAAACTTTGTCCTTATATTTTATATCTTCTATCTTCTATCAAAGCCTTATTATTAAATGTCCCACTTTCAGACCTCTCAAATATATATACAAATTTCAGATATTATCTTTGACAATTGTCTTTGTTACAAATTAATATAAGATAAGTAGAAATAGAAATTTACTATTACTATTTACTCAGACTGAGGTTGCAGAGACTAATACTGCCGAAAAGTCCTAGAGGTCTGACCGGTAACACTTCAGTTTTGAGTTTAAACGACATACCATTTAAATCTCAGATACTACTATAACTTAAACGCTACTAGACCGTATTTAGTATTTATTATATATATATATGAATATTTATATATATATATATATATATATATATATATATATATATATATTATATATATATATATATATATATATGCATATATGTATGTGTGTATGTATAAGAAAACACATCGAGATATGTGCATATCCGAGAGCTAGACGGTTTTTAACTGTATGGTACTTTTCGCTGTTCAAAGGAAGCTTTTGTGTTTGTGACCACTCTTTGTTGTTGTTATTGTTGTTCTTGCTGGGCTTTGTCTCTTTGTTGATAGCGCACTTGTTTGGTCAAAAGGGCGCATACAAAAGGGCGACTGCAGCACAGTCGGAGGACATCGTGCGTCTATATTGCCCAGGCCATGTATACCATCTGCTGGGGGTCATCCGACACACACAAGTCGAGAGATTCGTCTATTATTTATGCCTATTTATGTTTGTTCATTTTTACATTGCACTTGGCGCAACATTCAATGGGTTGCCCTTTAATGCTTGTAACTCTCTAAGCAATATGTAAATGATGCCTATTTAGCTTTTCATAAATTTATATCTATATCTATATCTATATCTATATCTATATCTATATCTATATCTATATCTATATCTATATCTATATCTATATCTATATCTATATCTATATCTATATCTATATCTATATCTATATCTATATCTATATCTATATCTATATCTATATCTATATCTATATCTATATCTATATCTATATCTATATCTATATCTATATCTATATCTATATCTATATCTATATCTATATCTATATCTATATCTATATCTATATCTATATCTATATCTATATCTATATCTATATCTATATCTATATCTATATCTATATCTATATCTATATCTATATCTATATCTATATCTATATCTATATCTATATCTATATCTATATCTATAGGAAAGGTTCTCCAGCTTTCCTAAAGTTTCCTGAAGGGTGATTATTACACTTGTCGCACTCTATTGTGTTCGGCATCCTGATGGAATGTCATGGTTAAGCTTGAATTATGTCTACTTAGAGCTGCAGGCGAAAGGGCATTGACCAATCTGCACTGTAATGTTATATTCGTTAATTTTTGTGGGGCTTCGTAAGTTTAACGCACAGTCTGCTAGCGCTCAGCTCACAGTATCTGACACTTTAACGAGGATGCCAGCTCTGAAAAAATATTGCAGTCAATCTTCTAAGCATAAGCCGCTTAAATGTCCATAATGACAGTTTTCTTCTTAGCTGCCACCGCACTAAATCGATCGAAATCCACAACTCATGCAAAAATAAACAAAGAACAAGCAAATCGCACAACAAGAAATTAAAATAGTAAACGAATGTATAGTCTATATAGTATTTAAGCTGTAGGTAGTCCCGCAACACACATTTAACAAGTAAGAAGGCTCTAGTCGAGACTGCTTGACTAGGAGATACCCTGAGACCTCTAAGCCAATATTCTACTCATTCTGCACTTCTTTATGCACACATAAATACACACACATCCACACGCACTTATCTCACGCGCTCTGCTGACGGCAATATTATGAAAATTTATTTGTTAAATAATTTCATTTGTAGTCATACAATCTTAATGAGACTTTCAGAGCATAATCATATGGTGAAAATGTGTGTACATTCCAAAACACCAGGCTCTCGTACTAGAAATGCGTTGTTTACAAATTGTGGGCGAAGATGGCGTGGTATCCAAAATCAGTAAACTACAAAATCTTTGTATCAATCAACTGTGTATACACAGT